CACTCTTTCTAAGAAACTGGGCAGATCTACACATGCAAATGCTGCTGGATGGGTTTACTCCAGAGTTATTTACTTTGGAGGAAACCCACCCTGGGCATACATGTATATCCATTTGGGAGCAGATCTGCTGCTCCTGGCAGCAGTTTGCTTCTGCCCCCTCCAGCCCTTTGCTGGCCCCCTCCAGCAGCTAAAGTGAGCTCTAGGTACCTCCTGAGTGCTAGCCCAGGGACTGGGAGCACAGGATCAGGAGACAGCTGTCTCCTGGCGGGGACTGGGAGACTGTTCCCTGCCTCTGGGAGTTGCCTGCTGCCCACCACCAGGGTGGGCTCCAGTGGTGGAGCCCAGGAGGGCACAATGTCCCCCTGTCCTGGCAGTACGGAGCTCCTTGCCCTGGCCAGGGCAGGGGGCTTGGAAAGATCTGTGGAGGAGGGGAAGGTCCCAGGCCCCTACCCCAATCCACTAGTGGGGTAGCTAACAGTGAGCCCCGGCTGGGCTGGGGTTCCCAAAGAATACTGGAGGTAGCAAGGAATGCTGAGAAAACAAACATTTACATAAGAACATAAGAGATGCCATTCTGGGTTAGACCACAGGCCCATCTAGCCAAGTATTCTGTATCTCTCAGTGGCTCAAAGGAGATGGAATCATAGAAAATTATAGTTGGAAGGGATGTCAGAAGGTCATCTAGTCTAACCCCCTGCTCAAAGCAGGACCATCCCCAACTATATCATCCCAGCCAAGGCTTTGTCTAGCCAGGTCTTAAAAACCTCCAAGGATGGAGATTCCAGAACCTTACACAGAGAGGAAGAATATTAATGCAGGGCTTATGCAGATCGATCTGTCCCCTCTTTCCTTACAGTTTCCAGCATTTAGAGATCCAGGAAATCCTAATTTGGAGACTGCAGCCCTATCATCATGTTTAGTACCTGCTGATGGACTTGCACTGCAGGATTCTTTCTAACCCACTTTTAAACCTGGTTAAATTTTAGCCTCTATAACATCTTAAGGCAATGATTCCCATGAGTTCATTACATGTTGTATGAAAAAAAGAACTTCCTTTTGTTTTATTTAAGGCTGCTTTCAATATTTCTATTTTACGATCCCTAGTTCCAATGCTTTGAGAGATGATAAATAGTAAATTGCTATTTACTTTTTCTAACCTATTCATTATTTTATAGTAACAGTAATTTCTTTACAGCTTTTGCTAAAAACATAAAACAGATAATAAAAGCATAAAATTAACAGGTTTTGCTAAAAAAACATACAGTAATACTACTATTTAATAGACCTGTATCCTTCCTTAGCTATCTTTTCTAGGGCGTAGACCAATGGCTTGAAGTTGCAGCAAAGTAGGTTTAGATTGGATATTAGGAAATACTTCACTGTTAAAACAGTGAGGCAGTGGAATAGACTGCCTAGGGAAGTTGTGGACACTCCATCAGTGGAGGAGTTCAAGAAGAGGCTGGATAGCCATGATCTAGACGTGCCTGTGCTTATGCTTTTCTATGGCTATTTCCCATGTTTTGTTGGTTGCTGAATGGAGCCAGAGGGAATTGTTTTACCCTCCTGCTGCTACATATGTTCAAAGGGGAAGGATTGATCTTTGAGAAGATCATCAAGGAGCACATCTGTGATAGGCCAGCAGCAGGGATGATGCTCAAGGGCAACCAGCATGGTTTCATTAAGGGCAGGTCCTGTCAGACCAACCCGATTGCCTTCTATGATCAGGTCACAAAAGCATTGGACGCAGGTGTTGCGGTGGATGTAGTGTTTCTGGACTTCAGCAAGGCCTTTGACACTGTCTCCCACCCCATTCTCATCAAAAAAACTAGGTGACTGTGGCATTGATGCCTACACAGTCAGATGGATTGCAAATTGGCTGAAGGGTCGTACTCAGAGGGTAGTGGTGGACGGGTCTTTTTTGACCTGGAGGGAAGTGGGCAGTGGAGTCCCCCAGGGCTTGGTCCCTGGGCCCGCATTGTTCAATTTCTTTATTAGTGACTTGGACGACGGGGTAAAAGCAGCTTGTTTAAATTTGCTGATGCTACCAAAATTTGGAGCGAGGTGGGCACGAAACTCCCTTCTTGAAAGCATGGTGGCAGAAAGAGATCTTGGAGTCGTCATTGACTCCAAGATGAACATGGGCCGACAATGCGAGGTCACGGTCAGTAGGGCTAACTGTACCTTGTTGTGCAACCACAGATGCATCTCAAGCAGGGCCAAGGAGGTGATCCTCCCCCTCTATGCAGCACTGGTCAGGCCACAGCTGGAGTACTGTGTTCAGTTCTGGGTGCCGCACTTCAGGAGGGATGTGGACAGCATTGACAGGGTCCAGAGGAGGGCCACCCGCATGATCTGGGGACAGCAGAGCAGGCCCTACGAAGAGACGCTACGGGACCTGAACCTGTTCAGCCTTCGCAAGAGAAGGCTGAGGGGGGACCTGGTGGCTGTCTATAAACTCACCAGGGGGGGCCAGCAGGGTTTGGGAGAAGAAGGATTGCTGGGAAGAGATGAGATCCATCTGACAAAGAGAGGGAAAAGCATCTTTGCTAACCTAGTGAGGCGGGCTTTAACTAGATTTGCCGGGGGATGGGGGCCGAGTGGGAAGTGGATCAGTTCTGGGGCCAGTTTTGTTCAATGTCTTCAACAACGACCTGGAAGATGGCAAAGAGTGCACCCTCAGCAAGTTTGCAGATGACACCAAGCTGGGGGGAGTAGTAGATACACTGGAGGATAGGGCTGGGATTCAGAGTGATCTTGACAAATTGGAGGATTGGGCCAAAAGGATTCTCATGAGGTTCAACAAGGGCAAGCAGAAAGTCCTGCACTTAGGATGGAACAACCTCACGCACCGGTACAGGCTGGGAGCTGACTGGCTGGGCAGCAGGTCTGCAGAAAAGGACCTGGAGGCTGCCGTGGACAATAAGCTGAATATGAGCCTGCAGTATGCCCTTGTTGTCAAGAAGGCTAACGGCATACTGGGCTGCATTGGTAGGAGTGTTGCCAGCAGGTCAGAGGAAATGATTATTCCCCTCTAATCAGCACTGGTGAGGCCACATCTAGAGTAGTGTGTCCAGTTTTAGGCTCCCCACTACAGAAAGGAGGTGGACAAACTGAAGACAGTCCAGGGGAGAGCAAGCTGGAGCGATGTGGACAAGTTGGAGAGAGTCCAACGAAAATGGTGAGGGGGCTGAAGCACATGACTTATGAGGACAGGTTTAGGGAACCGGGCTTATTTAGTCTAGAGAAGAGAAGACTAAGAGGGGATTTAATAGCAGCCTTCAACTACCTGAAGTAGGATTCAAAAGAAGATGGAGCCAGACTGTTCTCAGTGGTGGCAAATGACAGAACAAGGAGCAGTGGTCTCAAGTTACAGCAAGAGAAGTTTAGGTTAGATATTCAGAAGTTTCTCACTAGGAAGGTATTAAAACA